TCATATCTTTTTCTGTTTTATTAAAAACACAATGGCTTATCAACATTTGAAACTGTTTAACAGCCTTCTTGTGTAAATGTCTATTCTGAAGAGCCTAGAGGACTCTGATTCCAACAATTCAAAGGAGGAGGTGGTCAGGCTGAACAGACAGATCACTCATCTCTCACTGGTGAGTTCTCTGTTGTGATTGTTTTAGTTGAGTCACATGTATGTAGTGTAGAATTGTTCCAGTTATTCATAAAATCTCTCCACAGGAAAACGAGGATCTGCGGGCCTCTCTCCTCCAAGCCCAGACAAACATCGCTGTCCTGCACTCAGAGATGGACAAACTGAAGAACATGTACGCAGACCAGAAAGCTCAACATGGGAGGTGAGGCGGTGTCTTTAAACTCGACTCAACTCGTCAGTTGTCATCCAGTACAACATCTTGTTCATGTGGTGTTTATTCTTTACAGAGAAACGGATGAATTGAAGAGGATGGTTATCGAATACCAGTCATATGCCAATCAGATTCAGATTCTCCAGTAAGTCTGCTCTTCTCTTCATGATGCTGTCTAGTGTGAACATTTAGGTAGTGCTTTTTTTTTGTGCAGTAATCAAGAATGCAGGGATTTGGTATCTTAGGTGTCAACACTTTCCAAAAAGTTCCAATAAAACGATTATACTGTAGTAACCATCCTTGTTGTCAAGGCTTCGTATACCAAAACTAAGCAGAATCCTTTGTAAAACTGATAATAAATGGTACATGTATCTGACTTTGTGTTCTTGAACACATCATTAGGGCAACAAACAAAAAACTGTATGACAGCAACGACGGGCTGCGCTCTGCGTTGGCCAGTGAGGCGGTTGCAGCTAAAAGGAGGGTGAGTCCTGTTTTTCTGATACACTGACTTTACATCAGATAGAGGCTGACAATAAATAGTTTTCACTGGTTCAAGTGTTATAATACAAAAGTTTCCTCCCTGACATTCCTAATCTGCTCAACAGCTGTCTCCCCAAAATGAAATCCCAGCCCGAAGGATGAAGCCCCTCCGACAGAGCACACTCAACCATAGCAGGTACATAAAGTTCTGTGGATCTGCCGATTGATCTCTCTGAATTAAATTGCCACAGCTAAAGCCAGCATGTGTGTTGATGCTTTGGTGCAGCTCGGAGCCGGATCCCAGCAAAACGACTTTCTCTCATGTGTCCACCTGGGCGGATAAGTACCTGGACAGTGGAGTGTCGCTGCCCATGGACACGGCTGAGGGCTCGTGCAGCGATTACGACAGCGACGACAGTAGGGTCTCCGTAGAGACTGTGCATCACAGTTACTCCTATGTCCCGTCTGATATGGAGGTCAGGTTTAAATAATGGCTCATGTTATGCTGGTAAACTGTGACAACTTTAAATAAGTATTTACATTTCTCTGTTACAGATTTCAGAAATGCAATCTGAAGCCACAGTTTCAGTAGCTCCCAGCAAAGCAAACTCTATCACATCGTCACTACGAAGACGTTTGTCTGCATTTTCTACAAAGGTACAGCTTTTCGATTCATAATAACCTCCTTCCCAGTTAGTGTTAATGCAGGGACTTGTATTTGATCTCAATTTCAAATAGAATAAATGTAGTTTAAAATGTTACGTTTTCTGCACTTCTGACAGTGTGGCTTTTGTTGTGACACCCAAAACAAAGCTAGGTTTAATAAGAGTGATCTATCCTCTGTGTTTAACAGTCCCAACAAAGTAGAATTTGCCTTTTATTGAAAAAACACATATAAAAATGGCAGAGGAAAGTCTACAAAAATAGTTAAAGGTCACATGTCATGGCCATTTCCACTGATCATAATTCCATTGTTGAGGTCTACTAGAATAGATTTACATTGTTCAATGTTCCAAACTCACATTGGTTTCGCATACAGCATCTCTGTATAGTATGTGTATTCAGCAGTATTCACTCTCTCCACTAAACGGCTCGTTGCAGCTCTTGCCCCTCCCCTCCCTGTGAGCCCAGTGTGCTCCGATTGGTCGGGACCAGTCGGGACGTTGTGAATCGCGCTGAGCTCCGTGGAGGTGTTATTTCCTTGTTTAGCGATACACAGCGAAACACAGCCAAACTCACCCTGAGCACACACAAAGTCACAGCCGAAGTAAAAACAATAAGTGTGGCTTGATATTGAGTAAGAAAAAGGTTGATAAACGCTGTGAGAATGGGTCTGCAGAGAGAATTTTGCCGCGATCCCAACTGTCTGTTATCAGCTTGCAGGCAGGGAGGAGAAATCAGCAGAGCTGCTTGCACTGAGTGTGTGAGGAAGTCCGTGGATTGGTCAATTTGGACCAATCAGCGGGGGCTTAATGTAACGGCTCCGCGGACGTAACGTAACGGCTCCACGGATTGGTCCATTTCGTTCCGGGGACGACATGACATCATGATGTACCCGGAAGAATCAAATGGACAGTGACGTATCTCCAACGAGGCGTTTTGGGGAGGTATTTTCTGTTTTAGAGTTTTACTCGCTACATGGTGTACTTTGAGGGTTTTGACTCTGCACACCGTTTACATGCATAAAAACCTTCATAACACACAAGGGGACGGGTAATAACCGGAAAAGCATGACATGTCACCTTTAATGTCATCAGTTACATACTGTTCATCAGGCTTAGTGCTTATTGTTCTTGTTTTTCTAGGCCACTTACTTTGGTGAAGAATAACATTACATTGCATTTAGCTGACGCTTTTATCCAAAGCGACTTACAATAAGTGCGTTCGACCAACAAAATACAAACTTGAAGAAAACAGAATCATATAAGTACATCAGGTTTCATAGAGCTAAAACATTTCAAGTGCTACTCAACTGGCTTTAGATAAGCCAGTCCTTTATTAGTATATAAGTGCTTTATTAATAATTCTATCGCTCGAAGTGGAGTCGAAAGAGATGAGTTTTCAGTCTGCGCCGGAAGATGTGCAAGCTATCTGCTATCTGAATAAACATTCCCAATCAACCAACCAAATGCTTACTGCTTTCTTTATAAATGATCACTAAAAACTGAGATTTTCCACATTAAATTGGACAAGCTTGTTATCTTGTGTTGTATTTCTGAAGCATTTAGGAGCGGACATAGAAGAAGGTGTGGGCCCGGCTCCGATGTACCGTCTTGTGTTAGCCGGAGACGCAGGAGCGGGGAAGTCCAGCTTCCTGCTGCGACTGACTCTCAACGAGTTCAGGGGAGACATGCAGACAACGCTGGGTAAGAGCCACCGCATTGACATCACATGTAATCCAACACTCATTCTTGATTTCACATGTGTAAAACTGCTTTTTTGGTTCTCAGGAGTTGATTTTCAAATTAAGAGGATGCTTGTAGATGGAGAGAGGACGAGTTTGCAGATCTGGGACACAGCAGGGCAGGAGAGGTATCATCAGGAAGTTACACATGGAAAAAACATGGTGTTATCTATTCAAATTGTTGCTTTTAATGACTCAAGATGGTAAAATACACAAGAGTAAAAACAGCGTTTCTTTGGATTGTAGGTTTCGTAGTATTGCCAGGTCTTATTTCCGTAAAGCTCATGGAGTCCTGCTCCTCTACGACGTCACCTCAGAAAGCAGCTTCCTGAACGTCAGAGAGTGGGTGGATCAGATTCAGGTAACAGTGGAAATGTTGCATGAAAAGTAAAATAGTGACACCACCTAATATATTAAACAATGTTGTTTGTTTTTAATACAGGATTCAACAGAGGAGAAAATCCCCATGTGTGTTATTGGAAACAAGGTGGACCTCCGAGAGCAGCTTCCAGAGGGGAGCTGTGTGAGCACTATTCACGGAGAGAAGCTGGCCAAGGTGTGTAGCTGTTCATTCCACCTGATTACACCGTGTTTATACAGACACCCAGCCTCCCGGGTGTCTAAATAAACTGCCTTCAGTCAGGTATGTCGATGCTTTGCTTGCAGACATACGGCGCCCTGTTCTGCGAGACGAGTGCCAAAGAGGGAACCAACGTCGTGGAGACAGTGCTTCATCTCGCCAGGTAGGAGGCCAGAGAGACAGAGAGTTTGAGCTTTCCCTTCACGCACCATGGCAACACTTTGACTTGTTTCTGATTCCCACAGAGAGGTGAAGAAAAATGTCACACTGAGGCGGCAGTCAGATTCTCAGGTCAGACTGAGTCCATCCGGCAAGAGGAAATCGCTCAACGCCTGCTGTGGACTGTAGACTCTTATCTGTAGATATGATAAAGTGATTTCTATTTTATGATGAACATAGTTTTCCTACATATGTTAACCTTTAAAATATGTAACTCCCAAGCCTTAGATATAATATTTTCATAAATATTCATTATCTGATCAAAATAAAGATTTCTATTGTTGGAAAATTGCACATATATAAAAAAAAATATAAATGATAGAATGTAATCATGCTATATCATCTTAGATTGTATTTGGTAGTAAAGTCTTTTTATGAAGTAAATAAATAAAATCACTGAAACCTCAAATGAAATGAAATGAAGTAGTTGTTTAAGGTTTTGTCAGACATGAAAAATATTTTTAGTATTTTTAAATGAATGCCATTTTCCATTTCAGACCAAACATGATTCTTGAGAAATCAAGATGTAATAGCAATTTTAACTGTTCCAATGTCCTATATCCTTTGCCATTACTTCACAGGAGGGTTTAGAGTGATCCTGACGCAGACACAAACAGATCAGTTTCCGGTCTTTTGCTGCAGTTTAGAATGATGTTTATTGCTCTACATACCAAGGTTTAAGTACACTGTGTCAATAGTTGTGGTATCGGGGCTGTCTGTCTGGTGGAATCGGTGTGCTCGTCCGCCTGTGTCCTCGTCCTCCTGTGTCCTCGTCCTCTCCTGTCACCTATGACCCCTTGTATACACCCGGTGCAGCTAAACCCCACCACCAGGTGTTCAAAAATAATATTGCACTATACATATAACTTAAATAAACTGAGACACCAACAACACCCATAAAATGGCTCCTACACAAGAGAAGAAGACAAAGTTGATTATTCGTAATATTTTATTAAGCAAGATTATTGCAGTTTCAACGCCTTCAATCATACAGAAATGTACTCCCTTTTCCAAATAAAAGCAGAAACAACTGAAAAGCTACTTGTTTAAAGCTTCTGTATTTCATATAAGCAGAAATCTCTGCTGGTATATTCTCAATGCTTAACTATATTTCATTTCATATTTACTGTACAATTTGTTAGTGAAACATTTTCCTACTATAAATACTTGGGTTGCAAACCTTCTTCGTGTCATCACTGTATACACTTTTTTCAGATGAAAGGAAAGAGGACTGAATATCATCATCGTCATGTGCAAAGTGTGCAGGATGTCAGTTTCTTGCAGTCAGAATCAACGATGTCACTAAGCTGCCCAAGGCCACAACCAGAGCTCCAAGTATAAACTTCCAGGAAATTCCCTGAAACACAACAAGGTCAGTCAAAATCCAGGGAGTTTTTATAATCAGAATGAAACTGAGGAAATATTTGTGTTGTAACTCACAGATGGCTTCTTCTTAGAAGGAATCAGGAAAGGTGTGATGTTATCTCCAAACATTGCTGCTGGTTTAGATATCCATTCCTGAGTATCCTTGCCTCCTGACTGCCGTCTGACCAGTTTAGATAACTCTGCGTGGATCGCCTGAAGAAGAAAGAAAATGTCTAAACATTCTGCGAAAAAGCTGCTATTTGTACAGTAGATCGAATGTTGGAAATAAGACATTTTAGCTAAAGAGAAATGTGAAGTTGTAATTTTGAAAATGTCCAGCAGGTGAGAGCAGAGGTCTGAAACACAAAGCCTTAGAAAGTAGACAACAAATCCCATCGTTATTTGTTTTCCTTTTACATTTCAATTTATTTGTCCCTATGTGGTCAGGCAGTATCACTTAACAGCATATTTTCTTAATACTTTCATTAGACTAGTTTGTAATTTGTCATACTATCTAATATAATATTAAAAAACAACACATGTATTCTTGTTTACAGTATATAACTACATTTGCTACGTATTTTTGTTATCACGTAACACACTGCAGTACAATACCTTTCTCACAGAGCAGCTGAATAAGTATTTAATCCAGCATCAAGAGGGTGTAATTACCAAAGCAGCAGATCTTTTTGTTTGGTCTAGACAAGACCAGACATTTCTCTGATGGCAGTGTACCATCAGAGAAATGTGGGTCAGGTCACTGTAACATTGGCAAACCATGTCGTAAACAGCTGATGGAAATGGACTCCTCACACTTTATTTACACTTTTCCAAATAAGAAAAACCAGTCTGCAGTGAACAAAAATAATGTTCATAAACTGAGATTGTTTTGCTGTGAAAAACTGTCCATCAGAGAAGCTATCCTAATCATAGCGTCTATACTGTATACCTGCAAGCAAGACTCCTCTAACTCCACTTCTATTTTTTGGGGGGCACAGGGCATTAAACAATATTTAGCTCATGCATGTGTTATTTTTAGGTTTTCTGGCTGATCTAAACATTGTGGTCACATCTGTAGACTGACTGATGTGCAGTTTGCCAGATAGACAAACCACACAAACAAGACAGAACAGGGCAGGCCTTCAACTGAAGTGGTTCACCGGGATCCAAGGCATCTCTTTTTTCTCCAGGCTAACGTGTGAATGCAGTAACTTTGTGAAGTGGTGTGAACTTAAAGAGGTGATCAATTATATTCATGTGTCATCATCTCTCCTGTGTAACTACCTTTGTCCTTAACATTTGGGAACAGATTAAGAGTCAAAACATTTAGGAATTGGATGTTTTAGCATTAAAGGTCACCTATTATACAAAATCCACTTTTTCATCTAAAGTAACAGACAGAGAATCAGCACTTTTGAAACAGGCCTGAATAAGGGGGGATTATGGGATGCTACAATGCATGATCTGTTTGGTATTTCGAGGCCAAACACTTCAGAGACATGTTTTGTATATATCTGAGACCTATAATATATTGATGAAAAACAGTGTAATGGGGGACCTTTAATGCACACATTTGGCGACAACAATTTGTTTGTATTGATTGGTGGATTTGACTTTTGCCCCTGTGTGTGTGGGAAGGACAGGCAGAATTGTAAGAAAGCTGAACGGGCCAATTCACCCACACAATCTCACCTTGGTGGTTGGCTCCAGTTTCAATGCCCTTTTTAGCACCTCCATCGCCTCTTTGTATTCACCCATGTCTGACAAAAGCTGAAAAAGATAACTGAACAGTGTGAGCAGTGTTTGTAGACACAGATACATAAACAGGCAGATAACAGAAAGCAATAATGTAGCAACTAGTTCTTCCTCAATAATTATTATATCTCATCCCGTGGGCCCGCACCTTTCCCACTCTGAACAGGGACTTGACGTTGTTTGGCTCCAGGGTCAGGACTTCCCGGCTGCTGCTCAGCGCCTCCTGGTACTGCTCCAGTTTGATCTGAACGGTGGCCAAGTTGTTCAAACACTTCACCCGGTAGTCCCGCACCTCCTCCTCCTCCGTCTTCACGCCACCGTTCCCACCATCTGTAGGGACGGACACACAACCTCTCACATGTACTCTCTTGACACAACAACACTTTGACAGAGATGAGTTATCTAATCTCAGAGAGGACTTATACTGACATCTTTCAGAATATAAGAAATATCTCAAAGAGAATCTCCCACTGGGCGTCATTATGAGGAGATGTTCTTCTGTTTCTTTATTCAGCTGGATATTGTATCTCAGTCCGTGCTGTAACCACTGCATGGATTCATCATTAGACCCAAACGTGTCCAGCACAATGCAGAAGTGACCCGAATAATGAGCCCTTGTTAGTGCAAAGGAATTTTCATACTTGGCCCGGAGAATGAAGTGAATCAAATGTCAGCAGCTCTGGGCCCACATCTGGGTGAATGCAAGTCTTTTTAATCACACTCAACATCTCAAATTTACAGTGGAATTTGATCAATTTTGTTAAGGATGTGGTTCCAAATTTGATTCTTTAAAGAAATGTGAACTTATTTTGACAACTGGGAGGCAACGACATTAACACAATATCACTTTACGATATTTATCATTTAGTTTCCTAGTTACAGAGCAACATCAGCAGGAATTTGAAGTTGTGTTTCTGGCCCCTACAATGAATTGAAGCTCACTATTGTTGAGTGGAGGGGGACTGCAAAGTCAGGTGATCATTATTTTTGGGTTGGCACTTGGAATGACACCTCAATCTTTCAATGAATAATGTTAATTGGTTCAGCTTTAGGCTCCACATCTATAAATCTCTTTCTGGATCTGTATCTTCTCTTTTTGATTAGCTATTCAAAACTGTGATTAAACGATTAAGCACAAATATCAAAGATGTCATCTTGCAGAGTTTGAATTGCTAATAACTTTTCAGATTTAAATGTGTTAAAAGCCTAAATAATGGGCAAGACATTTCTTACCATTCAAAACCAAACTAATATTAAAGGTGGGGTAGGTAAGTTTGAGAAACCGGCTCGAGATACACTTTTTGTTATATTCCATGGAATGCTCTTAAAAAAATTGCCGCCCTGTCTGTCAGCCTTCCATCTCGTGCACGCACAAATGTATCTCGTGCCCTCATTGGGCGTGCCGTCATTGGGCGTGCATTGCAGCAGTACTTCAATGACTCGCCAGCAACAGGCGGCCACTTTCACCATGGCATGAGTTAGGTTCAATATCGTCTACTGGTGGCAAAATAAATAATGTAACGGAGCAAAGTAGGAACAAAAACAAAGTGGAAACTAGGAGAATTCAAACCAGAGTCAATATCGGAGTTGCCTTTCAACGATGGCGACTACTGATGGAACACACCTATGGGGGTTATTCCCTACCTTTATTCAAGAGCGTGGTATTTAAATTTGAGAGCATACTTTATGTATTTATTTCCCTCAAACCCTGTCCTCGCACTCAAATAGTGCCTGCTTGCACTTAGATTTGCTCTGCTTCTGCTCAAACTGTACGCTTGCACTCAGATATATTGCTGCTTACAGATTTGTTCTGCTCTCAGATTTATTCTGTGCGCGCTCAAAACTTTTGTGCAACAATCCTCTCAAAATCCCTCAACCAATAGGAGGCCAGGTGTCCTTGCGGGTGCGTTCGCTTTATTTATTACAGCGTCCCGTAAGGGCGGTTACTCTTTGGTTTGTTTTTGGTGCGATGACAGGGTTTGAGTGAAGGAAATCAATAAAGTATGCTCTTGTGGTGACACGTTATTGGACATAATTCACCTTGCTTATTGTGTTGCCACACGGACCCTTTAGTGGGGAACACCTGTAGCTTTAGCTGCCATTCCTGCTAGCTCATCAGGCAGAGCAGTGCATGTGTTAACCTCTCTGAAGTAATGGATAATAAAGATTGGAACTCCATTCTTAATACACCGCCTCCGACTCTCTTTTCACGGCACTACACTGGTGACCCTGACTTTTCCGAGAAAGTTTCCGGAAAATTAACGAACATGGCTGAGCGCGATGTTTTCATAAAGCTGTCGGAATTCTGGGAGCACACCGCGGAGGCATGGTTCGCACACGTGGAGGCACATTTCGCCTGCCGACAGGTCCGTGACGGGGACCTAAAATACTACCATGTGGTAGCAGCGCTGGGGAGCTCCACGTCATCCAGGTTGGTGGGATTCATCGCAGCCCCCCCACATCATGGCAAATATGAGGCGATTAAGGCCCTTCTCCTTAAGACATTTAGCTTATCTGCTAAGGAGAGGGCCCGCCAGATACTTGACATTCAAGGCCTAGGAGACAGCAAGCCATCCCAGCTAATGGAGAAAATGCTAAATCTGCTAGGGGGGGAAGATCCCCGTATTTTATTCACGGAGATTTCCCTGCGTCACTTGCCTCCCCGGGTACAGACGGCGCTGGCCAACACGCCTGTCACGGAGCCCCGTGCTTTGGCTGAGGAAGCGGATCGTTTTTTCCTGGCTACGCAACAGCCCGGGGCAGAGACGTTAGCCGCGACGCTCAGCGGCCCACCGGCAGTCAAGAAAGCGTGGCGGAGGCCGGACACGGCTGTGGCTAGCCGGCGTGGAGACGCCGGAGAGTGCGTTTACCACGCACGTTTCGGGACAAGGGCGAAGAGATGCATCGCTCCGTGCAGCTACAAACCCCCGGGAAACGGAGGGGCCGGCGCTCAGTAGTGGCTCTGAGCGTCGGCGGCACGTGCAGGCTCCTCTTCGTCAGCGACAGCGTTTCGGGGAGCCTGTTTCTGTGTGACACGGGCGCTCAACGGAGCGTAGTTCCAGCGTCGAGTGAAGACGTCGCCCGTGGGGGGCACGGACCGCGATTGACGACGGCTAACGGCAGTCCCATTCGCACGTACGGCGTGAGGCCTATGTGTTTGTGCATCGGAGGACAGCGTTTCAGCTGGGATTTTGTGACAGCGGACATTTCTTTTCCCCTCCTCGGAGCGGATTTTTTGTGTGCTCATGGACTCTTAGTGGACGTTAAGAATAGGCGTTTGGTTGATGCCTTAACGTTTTCTTCCCTCGTGTGCACACTTGGCAGCGCAGCGTACGACGGGCTGTCAGGCTCGCTGTCAGGTGCAGACACGTTTCTCAGACTGTTGGCCGAGTTTCCAGACCTGTCGCTACCCACCTTCTCTGCCCTTACCACTAAGCATGGCGTGGAACACCACGTCACTACCGGGGGGCCTCCTGTCTACGCCAGGGCCCGGCTTAGAAGGGTTGAACCCTTCTAAGCTGGGGTTGAACCCTTCTAAGCTGGCTGTAGCGAGGGCGGAGTTCGCAACCATGGAGCGCCTGGGCATTGTCCGCCGCTCCGACAGTCCTTGGGCTTCCCCCCTGCACGTCGTTCCCAAATCGAACGGCGGGTTCCGCCCGTGCGGGGATTACCGCCGACTCAACGACGCCACTATGCCTGACCGCTATCCGGTGCCGCACATTCAGGACTTTTCGGCGCATCTGGCCGGTACGGGGGTGTTTTCCAAGGTGGACCTGGTGCGTGGATACCACCAGGTGCCCATGCACCCCCTGGACGTTCCCAAGACAGCAGTGATAACGCCTTTTGGACTTTTTGAGTTCCTGCGGATGCCTTTTGGACTCAAGAATGCCGCTCAGACGTTCCAGCGCCTGATGGATTCGGTGCTGCGGGACCTGCCGTTTGTGTTTGTTTACCTCGACGAGTATGCCAGCGCTTCAGTGCAGGAGCACCTGTCCCACCTCCGAGCCCTTTTCACACGGCTCAACGAACACGGATTAATCATCAATCCTGCAAAGTGCCAGTTCGGGGTGTCGGACATCGATTTCCTGGGGCACCGCGTCACCAAGGGCGGTGCGACACCTCTGCCAGCGAAGGTGGAGGCTGTTGCGGCGTTTCCTCGCCCGCTCACAGCCCGGTCGCTCCGTGAGTTTCTGGGGATGGTGACTTTCTACCACCGTTTCATCGCCCGGGCCGCACACATCATGCGGCCGCTGTATGAAGCGTTGAAAGGCAAGACCCCCGTCCAGGAGATCGACTGGACAGCAGAGGCGGACGGCGCTTTTGCTGAGGTCAAGACCGCGTTGGCTCAGGCGGCTTTGCTGGCACACCCATCATCTACGGCTCCCATCTCCATCACCACGGATGCGTCAGACTACGCGGTCGGCGCAGTGCACGAGCAGTGGGTGGAGGGCGCTTGGCAGCCGCTCGCCTTTTTCAGCCGCCAGCTGACGCCTAGAGAACGCAAATACAGCGCCTTTGACCGGGAGCTCCTCGGACTTTATTTGGCCGTGCGGCACTTCCGTTTCATGCTGGAAGGCCGTGAATTTACGGCGTTTGTCGACCACAAGCCGCTCACCTTCGCCATGTCAAAAGTGGCGGAGCCTTGGTCGGCACGTCAGCAGCGGCAGCTGTCCTACATATCGGAGTTCACTACGGACATTAAGCACGTGGCTGGCAAGTCGAACCTGGTTGCTGATTGCCTCTCCAGGGTCGTCATCGGTGCCGTCCAGTTGGGCCTGGACTATACTCGCATGGCGGCAGACCAGGTCACAGATCCCGGCGTCCAGGCCCTGAAGGTGGAGAGCGCGGGGCTGCGCTTGGAGGACGTGGTGTTCGGCGACGCGGGCATTACTCTCCTGTGTGACGTCTCTACGGGCCTGGCGCGGCCTGTCGTCCCTGCCAGCTGGAGGCGTCCTGTGTTCGAGGCTGTGCACGGCCTGTCACACCCCGGCGTTAAACCTTCGGTCCGTTTGGTAGCGGCGAAGTTTGTTTGGCAAGGACTGAAAAGGGACGTGAGGACTTGGGCCAGGGAGTGCGTGGCTTGTCAACGCGCTAAGGTGCACCGCCACACGAAGGCCCCGTTGGAGCGTTTCCTGGTGCCTGAGAGGAGGTTTGATCACGTCAACATTGACCTGGTTGGTCCGTTGCCTTCCTCTCAGGGGTTTTCCTACCTCCTCACCATGGTGGACAGGACGACCCGTTGGCCGGAGGCGGTTCCGCTCGTTTCGACATCAGCCGCAGACGTTGCCCGGGCCTTCATTGCAACGTGGGTGTGTCGTTTTGGCACCCCGTCAGACATTTCCTCAGACAGGGGCTCTCAGTTCACGTCCGAGCTCTGGAACGCTGTGGCAGGCGGTTTGGGGGTTAAGCTGCACAGGACTACCGCTTACCACCCTCAGGCTAACGGTCTCTGCGAGCGCTTTCATCGCTCCATGAAGGCGGCCCTCAAGGCCGGCCTTACGGACGGTAACTGGGTCGACAAGCTGCCCTGGGTGATGCTGGGCCTGAGGACCGCACCTAAGGAAGATCTGCAGTGTTCTACAGCGGAGATGGTCTACGGTCAGCCGCTGAGAGTTCCGGGGGATTTCCTCCCAAATGCATCGGCTCCCTGGTCGGCGTCGGCCCAGCGGGCTTTCCTGCGTGACGCCGCTGAGGCCTTTGTTCCGATCCCTACTACTCAGCACGGTACTCAGGTGTCCCAGGTTCCCGCAGAGCTCCGCTCGGCGGAGCACGTGTTCATCCGGCACGATGCGCACAGAGGCCCCCTGCAGCCCCCTTATGATGGGCCTTTCCGGGTCTTGGAGCACGGGGACAAGCACCTGGTGGTCGACCTGGGTGGCAAGGCCGAGCACGTCTCGGTGGACCGGGTGAAGGCTGCTCACCTGGACTTGGACCAGCCTGTGGTGCTGGCTCGACCTCCGCGACGGGGCCGCCCCCCGGCCTCGTCCCCTGTCACGGATTTAAGACCTGTTGTTCCGGTCCCTCCCCTTCCGGGGGCCGCACAGGCGGGAGTCACTTTTCCGACTCCCGTGCTCAGGAGTCGTGGGGGTCGGCGTGTCGTTCCTCCCCGCCATGCTGATTTTGTTTATGTGTGAATTCTGGGGGGGCTTGTGTGGTGACACGTTATTGGACATAATTCACCTTGCTTATTGTGTTGCCACACGGACCCTTTAGTGGGGAACACCTGTAGCTTTAGCTGCCATTCCTGCTAGCTCATCAGGCAGAGCAGTGCATGTGTTAACCTGTCTGAAGTAATGGATAATAAAGATTGGAACTCCATTCTTAATACACCGCCTCCGACTCTCTTTTCACGGCACCACACTCTCAAATTTAAATACCACGCTCTTCAATAAAGATAGGGAATAACCGAGTTGAAATCTGACGCCGTGGTCGCTCTTTTTCTCTTGGACAGGTAATTATCTGTTTTGTATGGTTTACAATTCCCCTGAACTATATAGCCAACCGAAGTCATGTGCGCGTTCATGTGTGTTGGAGGAGGTGCTCTGTAAGGAAGTCTGAAGGAAGGGGCGGATTATTTTCGGCTGTGTACTTTCAAATTTTAGTGCACTCGAGCCGGTTTCTGAAATGTACCTACCCCACCTTTAATGTACTTCGGCACATCTTAACAACATTTCTTTCCTGTTTTCTTTCTTTTCTTTTTTGGTGGTTTGGTTAAAATGCTAATGCTAAATACTAACATTGGTTTATATCAGGGATGGGCAAATGGCGGCCCGCAGGCCGCATGCGGCCCCCACCTCCTCTTTTTGCGGCCTTCCGATTAATTTATAAACAACGTAATTAATTTTTAAAAAATGTAAAAAAAACAAACAAATGGTTTACTTGTAGTACTGATACCGTCCACTAGACTCCTAGTTACGTTGCGAGCTGCGTAGATGATTTCAAATACCGCAAAAATAATCTGTGACGCATTTGTGTGTATTGTGTTTGTTTCCCGGGGAAACCCTCACAAGAAACACGGCTGTTGTTGCCTCTTGTAATTATGCCTTTACAAGCTTAAAAGTTGTTTTTATCATCTCAATTTGGCGAAACAAGTTTAATATTCTTAAAACCAAGACTTTGTTTATTTGAAATCAGATGAAAACAAACTGTCATGGACCCTGCCGTGTTATCTATGATTACTACGCTTTTCATTCATAATTTCAGCGGGAGGGAGGGGGAGTGGTGCTGAGGAACAGCAGAGTGCGGGCTGACAGGTGTCTGTGTTGACATTCCCCTTATTGTGGAATAAGGGGAATGCAGAGACTGGCTACAAGTGTTTTAGGTTCAAGTTAGACAACTAATGTCTGGGTTAGTGTTCATGACTTCATGTGTATGTCATCTAATGGTTAATCTCAATACACACACATTTTTCGTGCTTTCCAATAGTTTAAAATAGTTTTATTCCACTGTTTAATAACCTGTTCAATACAAACATGCCACTTGTAAAAATGAAATAAAATGTCTGTGAACTGATATTTGTTTAGTGAGCTTATTAGAGGATGTTCCCATTTTTTGGGGATGTTCCCTTTGATTGTAAAATGTCAATGAAGATGTCAGACTTAGTATATTTGTTAATAATTACATACAACACATGGAATTTTTTTGTGTGTGTTCCAAGTGAATCTGTGGCCCCCTGGTGGCCAGTACATCAATGATGTGGCCCCCACCACCATCAAAGTTGCCCATCCCTGGTTTATATACTTCATTAGGGTTGCAAAGGGAGGAACATTTCCGGTAAATTTCCGAAAAGTTTCCATGGGAAGTTAAGCTGGGGAATTTTGGAAATATTCGATGCAAAATTAAACAAAAGACATGACATTTCAACAGATTTTTTTTTTTTTTTTAAGTAGAACAGAACAAGTTTTAATTATTTTATTGATCAATTATTTGTTTAATTGAAGAACGAAAACAGGAATGTTGAGTTAAATATTACTCATCTGTGCATGTGATGGACGAATGCACTGTGCCTGTAGGGGGTGTGGTCTCAATAGCCATGCCGTAAGCAGTGTGCTATGGCAGTGGTTCTCAAATGGGGGTACGCAGACCCCTAGGCGTACGTTGGAGTACTGCAGGGGGTACGTGAGATTTATTTTATGTTAATGAAAAAGAAAAAAAATAGATAAATATATCAATTTTAGGAAAAGTAACGAAGTTTGAGCAGTGTGGGTTTTATATTAATAGACTAGAGTTACACATATTTCAAAACACGAAGTGTAATAACTGCAGTTTGCCTCCCTGTCAGAATGACAAAGGTCCTCAGTGAAGCACAAGCCCATGTTTCTCACTAAATTGTAAGTACAACTTATTAAAAAGATCAGTTCAATGCAACTAATGTCGTCTTAGTGTTATTGCATGATGTTAAAATTGGTTTGCCATGAATTTAGTGATGGATTGTAAACATTTGAAATGTAGCATTTAAGTGTTTCTCAGTTACAAGGTTGTTGTTTTAATAAATCAGACACTGATGGTGCAGCACTGTACTGTACCTCTTTATATAGTCATTTCTTCCCTAACAAATTGTTTTTGCGCTGATCAGGGGGTACTTGGCTGCATTTTTTTTCCAAAGGGGGTACATTATTGAAAAAAGTTTGAGAATCACTGCTATGGCATGGATATTCAACTGTACTTGAATGGCATCTATTTGTTTTAGTCAAGATTATGCTAAAATATACTTTCCCCAACTATATTTAAGTTCCCTATGACGAGCCAACCTTCAATTTAGAATTGTTCCTGTTTATTCCCATAAATTCCCGTTAATTCCCATGGAAAGTTTTCATCTTTGAAAATTCCCGGAATATTGCAACCCTATACTTCATCAAGACAATTACCTGTAAAAACCGAGCAGAAAATGGAGTCTGATCACGTCTAATGTCCATGTGAGTGCATGATTAGTTGATTACTGGTTAATCAATTAGAGTGATTTATAAGCTCCACGCAACGTGAATTATATTTGTAAATGATAAGTCAGATAGGTGAAAGATGACCCAAAAAAGAGTCAGCCTAAATTGTTGATGTCTCTGCTTCAATATATTATTTTTTGGTCATCTTCTCATCCACTAATTCCCTAATCTTGATGCCCTGATAAACTCCTCTCTTCACTGAGTTCACTCTCTGCTCCACCATCATTGACGCATTATGAAGCAGTCCATGTTTTTCTCTTCATTGTTCATTCACATTTCCCTCTCGGGCCCACCCTGCCTCGTCAATGATTAGCAGGATTAAGGAGGTGGAAATAATATGAAAGTTGATTAGCTTTGATTATTCAAACAAATGAAACCAAAACATTTATCATGGCACCGGACTCAGATAGATGTGGCTCTGCAAGGTGATAGTGTGATTAGTGTGATGGCAGACTGGAGGAGAGCATTATGTTACGTAACTCTGGACTCAGATTAATGTAGAAGTGTTTGAGGTCTCTATGAAATACTGTGTTTTTATGTTTAGAAATGTATGTGTGTTTTTATGTTTAGAAATGTATGTGTGTTATCTTACATATACATTCAGGTTTTGCTGCTGGGTTACCTCTGCTGCGCGTGGTTAGCACATCCAGAGCCATACTGTAGGCTCTGGCAGCCATGCTGTATTCCTCCCTCTGGAAATGAAAGTTTCCTCGCTCTCGTTTCTGGTTGCCGATGCGGATGCGGTCGGCGACGGGCAGAGTTAACGGGTCCAGTTTCTCTCTGAAGTCCAGCAGCTGGAGCTGGTAGAGTAAAGGAGCCCATGCTGGAATATCAGGCTCCCTGCACATAAACAAAGATAAAATAACTACATAATCAATATCATCATAGGGCAAAGAGTAAAAAGAGCCAAGATACCCCAGAAAACACTCTGATCTCGTAAATCAATGAAGAATTAAATCTGTTGTGATGTGATATCAGCTGAAGAAAGAAAAGCAGGAACAAGCTGGCCAACATCCTGCATATGGGATGCTCCTGTTTAGAGTACAGCCCATTTTTTAATGGTGTTAATTAATTACACAGTACTACTAATACTAACTAATAAATAAACTAATAAAAACCTCAAGGAGAACAATTCCACTGAAAATGTCATCAGAAGATTTTCAATTGAATCTAAAGTTTAAACTCACTCTTAAGGACAAGCCCTAAATATTTGAGGTTTTGTGTCACAGCCTTGCATTAAAAACAACATTGACAAAATCAACAAAAACATGCAATCATAAATGCAGACAAAATGAATTACATTTGTATTTATAAAAAAGTTATAATCAAAGGTGTTTATATAAGATATGACATACGTGCAAAGTGAAAATACATAGTGTTGTGTTCTTTCAACTGCTTTCTGTATCAATAGCATTTCACTATATCCAACAGCTTACATAGCAACGCCTTTAAAAGACTGAGTGACTCCGGCTCATTGAAAGCAGACAAGGATTTGATACTGGTATGAACCTGTGAGCCGCCGACAGCTTCGGCTCACTCAAGAGTCACTCAGAAGGAAAGGTAATTTGGTTTTCAATCATCCAGCTCCTGTGACCACATGGCACACAATGGTCCATTATCAGTTACTCTGTGGAGGCTCTGGTTCCAAAGGTAGGTAGGTGTGTGTGTGTGTGTGTGTGTGTGTGTGTGTGGTGTGTGTGTGTGTGTGTGTGTGTGTGTGTGTGTGTGTGTGTGTGTGTGTGTGTGTGTGTGTGTGTGTGTGAGAAAGAGAGAGAGGAAATTAATGCAATGAAAATGTTTTGGCCTACATTACTTATTGTAACAAATAAAACTTATTTTCTCTTACAAAATAATGCATCTGTCAAACTAACAAACATTAAACATACAAACACATTAATTGTTGTTTGTTCGGTTTAATAAAACATAACATTCCCTAAAAAGAAAGGCACATGTTACCTTTCTGAAGTGTATCCTATCAGTTTAATGAACTCATCCCATCCAGTGACCTTTTTTCCACACAGTGATAGCACTGGGAGTTGTGTCAGGGCATGAATTATTTAAACCGGTTTTGTCAATGAAACAATTTACATCCGTCTAACAGAATTAGTTATATCCCAGTTACTGCGAGGCTGTGTCAGCAGGTGGGATCAGATTACCCTTTCACCTCTTCTCTTCAGGGACCTCGTCCTCTGTCACAGGAGTGTGAACCCTGCAGCTGAGCCGAGCATCAGAAACCTGAGCCCTGTCCCTGCACTCAGGACTGGAGGAAGTAGCCTTCAGAGACGTTATCACTCAGGGCCTTGATCTGAATAAGTAGATGCAGGTCTTTAAAAAAACTTGTTTTGGCATACCTCTGCATGTTTACTGAGGGTCATAGACGAGGAAGTTCAATAGAAGAGGACAGTTGATTTGTTTATGTCTACATATAGCACATGGCCAGGTTATGTTGGTCTTTTTAGACAGGCCTCATACTGTACATTCGATTAGCCGAGACAGATCCTCCACATCCTTTCATGTGTTTTGCTGGCGAACTAAGAATATGACACCATCACCGAATGATCCACTGCACACTGCACAGTCTGTACATGAGATGGACGTGCTGTGGGTATTTGTCGTCCTTACATACTTTTCTCTACAATTATCTGCAAACATTACACAATATTCTGAAAGCTGTGTGTTATATAACTTTGTGTGGCATATAACAACAACACACACAGCGTCCCGACTACTGGCAGTGCCTGGATCCAGAACGGATTCTCTGAATTCACCTCTGAACCCACTTTTGTTTTTAAGTTACTGAGCAACACACACTTAAGGTCTGAGCAAGCAAGTATTAGCTTGAAACAAGTTAATACTGAGCTTGACTTCTTCATCAAAGCAGATGGAGTGAAATAAGAGACCTGGCTCTGTAATATTTCAGTTCAAACGTATTGTCCCATACACTATTTCCTAATCTCTGTCTGACATTGTGACAATGTTTGGTTCGTAAATAGCAGCAAAAGCCCTTACTCATTCATCATAATTTCTTCACGCAGAAAAAACACACCCACTTTGCTTCTAATGACTCGCACAGATAAGGACACATTAGATGAGAAATGATGAGTCAATCCTTATTAATGGATGCAGGCGTAGCTGCTATGGTCGAAACTGTACAAACTAATTGTGCCATATCAAAACATCATGAATCCAGAATGATGTTATCCTACAAAAGAAACACAGGTCACTAACATTGACTGCTCATTGCCTGACAAAAAACGATTCTTCACATGCAGGATTCAACAGGTGACCTCTGCAGCAGCAAACACTCAGTAAGCAGAACAACCGTATACAGGACAAAGAGTAAGGATGCATGGCTAAAACACTGAGGAAAAATGCAAATCAGTGAGAGTGGAGCTTCCATTTTGAGCATTAAACAGAATGCCTGGCGAGCTGTGGAGTGTAATGTGACTATGCAGTGCGCTGACAGATCTATAAGGTTTACAGTGTCACGTGGGTCACCGGTGATTAGCACCAAAGCAGTGTGCTGCTGTGCTAAGCTCAGCCAATGAGCCCCCGGGGCCTGATTAGTGCAAACAGGAAGCAGAAGCTGGTCAGTGGGGCAAGATCCTGCCGCAAGATCACAGTGAAATCTGAAACTGCAACTTTAACCACGGTCCACATCCTTACACTGAGCTGCAGAGCCAGTGTCCCTCCTTCAGTCATCACACAAACATATACGGATGGCATATTGTTTGTTTTCATATTTTTAATAAAAACCTTTTCTTGAATTATTCTTTTCAACTTATTTTAGGAGCTGATATACCAGCTCAAATTCTCGTTAAAGCTTTACCACTGACTAATGAGTTGAACCACTGTGATGTTGTGGAAACACCTAAAATCACTTCCTGTGTAGTAAACTGTGGATCTTATTTTCAGAGCTATATGAAACTGGAGCAATTGCTTGTTTATTGTAATTTTAAGCCATTACTTTGACTTTAAAAAGATTATATATTCAATATAAATAACTCCAATTGTTTTGATGTTTCATCATGCCCATATCTTGTACCATGTGTCTTTGACCAATTGCCAACAACATTATTTTTTTTCATTTCAAACCTTTATTTATCCAGGTGTATCCCATTGAGATCATTGATCTCTTTTCAAGGGAGACCTGCTCAAGTAGGTTCCACATAAAACATAAACAGAACAACAAAAAGGACATCATACAGCATCATTACAGGGATTTACAATTTACATAATTATCCACATGAACAGGTACCAACAGCTTCCGATTGAGTAGCATCCAACCGAGCTTTAAAAACATTTAGTGGCACCAGATTGCTCAGTTTCCATTCCAATTGCAGACTATTCCAAGACAGAGGAGCTGCGCATCTAAAAGCTGTCTTCCCTAAGACAGTCCTAGCAGTTGGCAAATTTAATAAAACCACAGCATGCGATCTCAGGCAGTAGCCACTTACACTTCGCTGTGAGATCAGGGAGCAGATGTAGGATTGAAGTTTCCCTAGCACGGCTTTGTATATACAAATGTACCAGTGACTGAGCCTCCGTACAGTTATACGGAGTTTCTCCTCCATCTTTTTTTGAAATATAGAAATGAACGGCGGGATATCTCTCCCAGCTTAGACGCGGTTTGATTGGCTACGGCTTGAGCTGTCAGATTTTCCGAAACGGGATTTGATTGGCTGGCGCTGGCTACTCCGGCGTCTCCGGCGGAGACGGACCGCTATGCTACCCACAATTCAGTTCGGCGAAAAAAAGCGGCAACGTGACGTCACCCCATTCAAAGTGAATGTGCAGATTGAAGCTGTCGACGCTGTCGACACTGTAGTGTGGACGGGCCGTTAGTGAAAGCAAACCAGCCCTTGCATACAGGGTACAGTGATGGGTTAATGCTTTACAGTTTGTCACAAATCTCAGTGCTCTGTGATACGCAGCATCTAACTTGACCAGGCAATTGGCAGGTGCATTCATATAAAACCATAGTCCAGCACAGGTAAAAAGGTCACAGTGACTAGCCTTTTCCTGGCCTCAAGCGAGAAACAGGACTTGTTCCTGTAGAAGAAACCTAGCCTAACCCTCAGCTTTTTAAGCAGGTTATTGACATGAAGTTTAAAAGTGAGACAATCATCAAGCCAGATACCAAGGTATTTGTAACAGGTAACCACTTCAAGTTATTATCTTGTTGCTGTCGGACTGCTGCTAGTTTTCATTTAAACTCAAGCTTTTGTTTCTTTGCAGAGGAATGACCCTGAGAGCAGCCTCCTGACCCAAACCAGAAGAAAGGTCATTGAAAAGGACACAGAGAGTTTTTTTATGGCTGAGCCTTCAGCAGGAAGACGGAGCCTGAGGGCTGAAGAAGGCTGAGCTGACTTTAAAATATGAGACATTTGCTGAGGCAGCAGATCAGACGGCTCTGTGAGACAGAAACAGGTTCAGGTGGCTGAAAAGAATCATGCATACAGACTTTATCAGCCCACATTCATGTCATGTTTACTGCAGGTCACCAAGGAAACCATGCCAACCAAAGTGACTGTTGGAAAATGACAAATATTGAAGAAAAATTATCAACTTGTTATTTGATTGTGACCTTAATATAATAATATAACACATAATATCACATTCTATAAACACTGATAGTATTAGTTAGAATGACAAGTTCCTAGGTATCTTCTTACACATTTCCCTTTGACCTTCTACAACAATAACAAACTTCACAGAAATGAAACAAATATCTAATCTACAAAATGGGGAAGACAATCACTATTTCCCGGGCAACAGAGCTTTATTGTCTGACGTTCGTGCTTCCACTCTTCTTGTGTTTGTATGAATGAGGTGATAAG